TGCCCATCCCCCAACCCTCTAGATGATACCCAGGCTGGAGGGACACATGTGGGAGGCAAGGGTGGAAGACAGACTGGGGATCCAGGCTCCTGGGGCCTGCCCTGGCGGGAGGTCACAGGCCTCACGGGGCAGTGAGCTGGAGGCCACCCAGGCAGGCAGGCAGCAGGGAAAGTGATCGGCATGGTCCTGGCCAGGGGCCTCCCCAGGGAGGCCGGGCAAGTAGGAGCAAAAACAAGAGCACAGGCCCCCCCCTGCTGGGGCTTATGGCCTGCGGACCCAGCCACAGAGGAAGACTCAGGAGGACCCGCCAGACTACTAGGAGAACATGAAGGGTGCACAGGCCCCCAATCTGGAGGATGTGTCTGGACTGAGTCCAAGGAGGGCAGGGAGGGGGGAGCCCAGCTGACCTTCCCTCACCCCAGCCACACCCCTGGCACCCCAACCTTCCTTCTGCCTTCTGACAGCCCCATCCCCACTCTCCCAGGAAACTGGGAGGGAGCCTGGAGAGGAAAGGGAAGCAATAGCCCCTCAGAGCGGACTCCCTGAAATCTACAGCCAGGGATTGAGTCCAGCACTCAGTCACTGCTGGGAACCCTGGCCAGGAGTCCCTCTGGGTTCCGGTGTGGTCCCTAGCGCAGGGAGGCCTGGGCTCCACTCCAGGGCTCTGGGCTCCTCCAGGCGGACCTGGGAATCTGCCTGGGAAGCTTAGGGGACTGGCCCAGCACAGGGAGGGGCTCAGGCTGGAAACCAAGCAGACAGGGTACCCCCCAACCAAGGCCGAGGAGGACAGGAAGCAGGCGACTATGGGAAGACCCCCGCCACCACCCACCCCCCTTGGCACACAAAGGCCAGAGAGGCCCCCAGGCATTACTGTGGGGGTGTTTGACAACACCTGCAGAGGGCTGGGTGTCCCAGGCACACAGAAAGCTTGCAGGGCCCAGCTGAGGCTAGGACACCAGCAGGTGGTGGCTAGGAGGTGACTGACCGGGGCCCCAAGCTGCATGGGGGGGCAGGCCCGAGACAGGATCTCTCTGAAGAGGTGCTGTACCCAGCCAGGGCTCCCAGAGACATAGGTGGTGGGGCCGAGTGCCCCTCACCCTGTGCCTGGACCCCAGAAAGGGCAATCATGTATCCCCTCAGACACAGTGTCCAGGGCAGGGCACTCCCAAACCAAGACCCCCCTAGGCCAGAGGCTGGGGGTCTGGGGAGGCCCCCCAGGAGGCAGGGCAGCAGCCAAGAGGAGTGCAGTACCTGGGCGCACTCTCCAACTGCAACCAGGGCCCGGTCCCCGAAGCACCAGCTCTCCCTGGGGGCAGGACCTTGATCCAGAGCAGGAGTGGAGGCTCCCGACAGGGGACGGCTGGAGAGGCCCTGGGCTCACGAGCCAGGGAGTGGCTGCTCTTTGCCCAGAAGCCCCTGGGTCCTGCCTGGGCTGTTGGTAGCTGCCAAGGCCTGAGGGGTCTGGAGTCCCCAGGGTGCTCGGGGGCAGCTCCTTTGGGACCCTCAATGGAGCCAGTAAGTCCAGGAGGGCGCCGATCCATCCAGGTGGCTGCACGGCCCAGGACAGGGTCTGGCTGCTGTCGTGACCATGCCCATCTGTGAAACAGGCTGCTGGAAGAGCATTCCCTGAGCGAGGGCGCTGGGCAGCCGGGGAGGGAGGATGCAGTCCCCGTCCAGGCCCCCAAGGCCCCCACAGCAGGGAGAGTCGGCCCTCCTCACTGTTCCTTCTCGGGCACCAGGCCAGTGCTCAGCTCAAGGGAGAGAGGGGTCACAGAGGACAACCAGCACAGATGGCCCAGGAGCATGGGGGTTCAGGGGGCCTGACCATGCCCTGAGGCACCCCAGGACCCTCTACCCAACACCCCTGGGACAGTGGTGTCCCCACCTACCAGGAACACATTCCTCAGGGAAGGCCCGGCAACCTGCTCTCCTCCAGTTCAAGGAGAGCCAGGCGGCTTTGGAAGGGGCCAGGAGCTGTCACCAAGGGTCCCTGTATTGCCCAGAGGCGATGGCGGCCACAGGAAAAACACTCGCTGCCCACAGAACCTCAGTGACAAATTCAGAGCCACCGAGAGAGTGAGAGCATCATCAGAAAGTCACCTGCCAGTCCCAGGGAGAAGGATGGGGTGCGTCTCCAGGGAAACGAGATGCAAGGGCCTCCCGGGGCCCCTTCCGGAACCCACCCAGCTCTCATATCCCACCCCCAAGGCCAGGGGCTGCCCCCACCCCCCAGCCCAGGATCTGGCACCCTACACACCCCCCTGCCCCAGCCCCTCCCCTTCAGGGCTGCATGGGGAAAGGAGAGGCCTCCTCTGTCTGCAGAGCGAGGTCGCCCCACCTAGGGCAGAGAGGAGGAGGGTGTTGGAGGTGCGGGGCACATCCTGCCACCCAGGCTGGCGTGGGGCACTCACACCGTGCAGAAGCGGCTGCAGTGACCACAAGCCTCCCGCTGGCTCCTGGGGATGTAGGACGGGACTCCTGGACCAGTGCTGGGAAGACTTCCATGAAGGGCCAGAGAGCACACGACGCAGCCCCTGTGGGACCACGGGGTCTCTGTGGCAGAGTCTCCCTTCTCGGGGTTCTCTGTGATGGGTGTTGCAACCTTTTCAGGATGTCAAAGCATGCTCCGCCCTCAGAAATGCAGGCCCCGGCCAGTGTCAGCCCCAGAGGTGGCCTGCTGCTCCTGGCGACACCAAGGACACTCTCTTGAGGCGGCCCTTCCTCTCGGGGCTTCCAGCAGCGACACAGGTCTACACGTGCAAGGGCGCTTCTGACTCACAGCACGCAGGAACAGTCTCCACCCTGAGCATGGCGCCCTCTCCAGCATGCTCCAGGGTGGACCTGTGAGACCACTGAAACCACAGAGGAGAGAGGTGAGGCGAGTCACTTAGGATACCAGGTAGTACACAGATTGTGGCTGGGTCTGGGGCGCCCTCCCCTGCTGGTTCGATTGGATTGCAGGTCTGCAGGAAGCCCGGCAGCCCTGTGAGGAGGGCGGGGGGCTGAGGCCTCCTGCCACAGCCTCTTCAGTCAGTCAGATAGGATGGCTGGGCCCCAGTGGGCACCTTCACCGCAGCCTGAGAGGGACCCTGGGCCATAGTCCTGGCTCCCCGAGAGCCCTCCCAGAGCGGGTCCCTCAGAACCCTGGGGGATGAGGAGCACCAGGTGGGGAAGGACCAAAACGTGGGGTCACCTGTCCCAGCAGTCGGAACCGGTGCCCAGCATCCAGGGGGCAAGACACGGTGTGAGCCAGAAGGAAACAAACGAACAAGAACCCCCAGAAGCCGTCAGGAAAGCCTGGAGCTTCTGATGACACGACAACTAAAATCCCGTCTGACCAGCACAACCCGCAGACCACACAGTCAAGAGACAAGTGATAACATGGGAAAAAACAGTAGCAAGAGGTGACTAAGGGCTCGCGTCGGTCACACACATACACACACAGGGCCAGACACACGAGTGGACAAGGCACCGTGCAAGGACAAGGGAGCCAAAGCGGGCGGAGGAGAGGAATGTCTTCTCCACCAGGATGCAATCCCCTCGGGGCAAAGACACCCAGCAGGGTCGCCAGAGCCGCGGCGGAGACGGGAAGTGACGCCAGGCCTCGGAGCCCAGCCAAGAGGAACCAGAGCAGACGGGCCAAACCCAGTGGCCAGCTCCCAGGTGGTGGTGGCGCTGGGGGGAGCCGCCCTGGGCAGCATCACCAGCAGCTGGGAACCCTCCTGGCGCGGGAAGGATGGCGGGAAACGCGGGGCTTTCCCGAAACCCTGGCGGGGCCCCGCAGTCGTTCCCAGGAACCCTCCCGCGGGAAGACCGCCGGAGGGATGGCTCGGTCGAGGGAAGCCACCGCCTTTTCTGCGGGGCTCGCCTTCCCCACCTCCCCGAGGAGCCAGTCTGGCGGAAGCGCCCCAGCCCACGGCCGCCCGCAGCAGAGCAGGATTCCCTCCCCGGCGGCCACGGCTGTCAAGGGACGGGGAAGACTTTGTTACCCCCCGCGCGCCACCCGCGGAATGGTGCACAGACACCTCCAGACGCCACCTCCCCAGGACGCCTGACTGGGCCCGCTCTGCCCACCTCTCCCCTGGACGCTGCGCGGTGGGGCGGTGGGGTCGGCGCTGCTTCCCCAGGACCCCGCAGACGCGCCCGAGGCGCTTCCAGAGCACAGTGGAGTGGGAAGGGCGGGGCGGCCCCTCTGCGGCGCCCAGGCGAGAGCGGCTCACGGGGCTTCCCAGGCCCTGACCTCGGGGGACGCCTGTCCGCCAAGTCCCCGGGGGAGGACAGTGACCACCGGCCTACACCAGAAAGGGACTTCCCGCCTGCCCCGCAGGGCTGGCCCGAGGACCCGCAGGTGCGGAAGGCGGAGCCGAGGGGGAGCGGGATCGCCCTCGCCTCCGCCCGCCGGAGCCCACAGCTGCCTCGCTCCCCGCCTCTGAATCCGTCGCTCCTCTCAGCCTCCAGGCGCCCGCCGGAAGCTCCGCCCCTCCCCGCCTATCCAGCCTCCTCTTCGCCTGTCGTCGCCAATGACCATGCTCAGATTGAACGGAATTCCCGCCCCTCGCCTTTGACGGACGCCCCTGCTGCCCAATGGTGCGCGCGGGAGGGCGCGGCCGGGGCATTTCCGCGCTGGGCGGTTTCCTGTCCCCAGCACCGACCCCTCCCTCCCGTGGGCCCACGGTAGGCACGCCCCCTCCCTCACGCGGTGCAGCGCAGCCGGCGCTCTGCTTCGGGACTCATCGAGTTTGTCACCGCGGAGCTTTTTTTTTTTTGAGACGGAGTTTCGTTCTTGTTACCCAGGCTGGAGTGCAATGGCGCTATCCCGCTCACCGCCACCTCCGCCTCCTGGGTTCAGGCAATTCTCCTGCCTCAGCCTCCTGAGAGCTGGGACTACAGGCACGCGCCACCATGCCCAGCTAATTTTTCTTGTTTTTAGTAGAGACGGGGTTTCACTGTTGCCCAGGATGGTCTCGATCTCTTGACCTCGTGATTCACCGTCTCGGCCTCCCAAGTGCTGGATTACAGGCGTGAGCCACCGCGCCCAGCTAGGAGCGCCTCTTTTCCTTCCGCACCGTGAGTGAGCACGCTTGTGGTATCTGGTCATGCCTTTGCAGGTTCTGACCCCTGGTTTTAGGCTTGTTCTCGTCTTCCATTCCGACTCTCTCCTTCGTTGCAGCCACTGAAGATCCTGGTGTCGCTATGGGCCGCCGCCCCGCCCGTTGGTGAGTTTTGCATCCATGTACTTTAAAGGCTGGGAAATGAGATCGGGGAAAGAACTATTTTGGGCCCTGAAAGTACCTGTCAGGCGGAGCCCTCCCCCCCCCCGCCCCCCAGGGCTGCCTGTTTTGGGAACTGACCCTATGTTTTGCCTCACATCGCCCGGTTCTTTTCAGTCTTAAGTATTATTGTCTGTTCCTTCATTCCAGTGTCGGTGTAAGTTTCCCTCATCTCTCTCCCTCTGTCCTGCAAGCTCGCCGCATTTTCGGGCGCTAAATACCCTCTCGGGGCCTTTGTGTGCTTTCCCTGTCTTATTTCCGGGCGACCTGCCGCGTGCCTTCCCGGACGTGGAAGTGGTCAGTTGGGTGACCTGAGCTGTGGAATGATAATGCAGTGAATTTGTAGTACACAGTGTCTGAGAGAGCATTTTTAACTAAGAAAACTTGTTGCAAAGTGTTACTTTCCAGGAAGTGTAAGATGAAGTAACGGAAAAAGGTGGCTTTTATGTTTCTACTCGGCGCTCTCTGCTGCAGCAGCGAAGTGTTCCTTTGGAGCTCATTTCCCTGAATGGAAGCAGCTTAGAAGTGGACATGCATTCCCTCGTTTGGGTTGATGGTTGAGTTTTCTGTGAACCTCACCTGACCTGGGTTTTTCCACTCCCCTGCAGTTGCCAGTATTGTCAGAACAATCCGTCCCCAAAGTCCCGCTTCTGCCAAGGGTCCCTGGTAAGTAGTGGAAGAGCTGCTGCACTAGCTTGGCCCTACTGACCCAGCATCCGTCTGCGACACCCCCTGCACACGTACCCAATCCTTTTTTAGATGCCAAGATTCGCATCTTTGACCTGGGGCAGAAGAAAGCAAAAGTGGATGAGTTTCCCCTCTGTGGCCACATGGTATTGATGAATATGAGCAGCTCTCCTCTGAAGGTAAGGCCGGATTCTCTGAATCACCCCCCAGTTGTCCTCCTGCTCCCTCAGCCCCATTTGCATGCACTGCACTGGTATTGGGAGTTTGAGCCTTTTCACAAAACTCAACCAACACATTTCTCCCAAGCTGGAGATGGTCACGGTGGATGTTTCTCTACTGTCTTCTCTGGCTTTGCTGCTTTCCTTCACCTCTACCTGGCCCTGGAGGCTGCCCAGATTTGTGCCAATAAGTACATGTTGAAAAGTTGTGGCAAAGATGGCTTTCATATCTGAGTGCGGCTCCATCCCTTCCACGTCGTCTGCATTAACAAGGTGTTGTCCTGTGCTGGGGCTGACAGGTGAGCTTGGTTTGGGGCTTTTGAAGGCAGTTATCCGATAACTTGGAGTCTCTACATTATTAGGCTTGCATTAATTTGTCAGAGCATAAAGGTGGCCCCAGTGACTCAGCCACCATGGCTGACTACTAGAAAAGCCAGGACACAGCTGGCAAGTGACTTCAGTGGTCACTCAGTAGGACTACTTCCTGTGGACTGTTGCGGATACAAGCAGGAAAGCATGAGTAAGTCTTAGCAACCTCTTAGTCACAGGTGAAGGGAAGCACGTGCAGTGGAATGGTTTTCCTTGCTTGAGCTTGATGGCAGCCATCTGCCAGCAAGCAGGTAGAGCTGGCAGAGAGCCCAGGGGTGCCTTGCAGGATGTATCATTGGTTCTTGGGATCCTCTACAGCCAATTAAGCCAACTGGGTTCCTTCCTCATGGGGCCCAGTGTGCAATGGCTGCAAACAGCAGCTTTCTTGGTAGTGTATGCATCCTGTTTTTGTATGGGTTGCTCTAAGGGACCTTGGAGACAGGCCCTCCAGATGTATGTTCATGTTCTCACCTTGCACTGCCCAATGTAGACTCCACACAGGGCATGTGAGGTGCCTTTGGAAAGCCCCAGGGCACTGTGGCCAGGGTTCACATTGGCCAAGTGATCATGTCCATCGCACCAAGCTGCAGAACAAGGAGCATGTGATTGAGGCCCTGCGCAGGGCCAAGTTCAAGTTCCCTGGCCACCAGAAGGTATGTGGGCTGCAGCCCCCTCTCCCCCCTCTCCCACTTACCTTGCCGCAGGCCTCCTGATCATCTCTTTGCATTGCCTCCCTAGATCCACATCTCAAAGAAGTGGGGCTTCACCAAGTTCAATGCCGATGAGTTTGAAGACACAGTGGCTGAGAAGCAGCTCATCTCAGACGGCTGTGGGTTAAGTATATCCCCAGTCGTGACCCTCTGGACAAGTGGCAGGCCCTGCACTCATGAGGGCTTCCACTGTGCTACCCCTAGTAATATAACCAATAAATTGATTTCCTGTCCACCTATGTCTTTGTATGTGCATTCTTGAGGGGGAAGGAACTTCTCTGGGGACCTTGGAGTCATCACTGCCCTCTGATTTCAGAAACTGGTTAACAACTCAGCCCTGCTCATGAGGCAGCAAACTTGCAAAGGGCTAGGGCTGGTGGCCTTGTGTCAGCTGTCTACTCTGGAACTTGACTTGGACCTCCCTGGGTCCTAGGCAGTAGGTTGAAAAGCATTGAAGTGCTTTTCATAAAGCACATCTGCAGCAAAGCCTTGCAGTCCTGGGATGAAGTCAGCCTCAGATTGTGTTGCTTATTACAACACATGGGGGTGAAGAGAGCTTGTGAGCTAGAGGCTGACCCACAGTGCCCCTGACCAGCAGCAGCCTTTATTTAGCAAGGGTAGATGTGTGTCATGCTGGGCGTGGTCTCAGCCATGTGGTTTAGATAGTCTCCGGAATCATCCAGGTACTGATGGTGTCACCTGGGATTTGCCTATCTCTAGCAGCCTCCTGAGCCGCATGCACCTACCCTTTCTGGAGCCTGCATTCCCAGAGCCCTCACCACCATTTGGTCTGGCCAACCTTTGCTCCTTTGTACAGAAAGATCTGGGAACAGACAGATGTGGCGTGCTTTGGCCTGGGATCCTGGATGTCTGACTTGAACTGTTGTAGAACAGTGATGACCTTTGGGGGAGCAGCAGAACGAGAGAGTGCTATGTGGGTGGTCTGAGCATCTGGGCCTGGGGACAGGACTCCAAAGCTTCTGGTTCCAGAGCTGGGATATGGTGGCCCACTTGGCCCCAGCCCCCAGCCTGTGGCCCCAGAGGCCCTGTGTTTTTTTTTGTAATCTCAACTTACAGCCATTTCTAAGGGTTTTAATTACCTTCACTTATTTGTTTTGCCAAACATACCTGGGAATGCCTTTATTTTTGTTTACCTTGGGGCAATGGTTCCATACCATAAATGTGATCAGAGTTAGTACATGGCCTGTTAACTGCTCTTTTGGGGCAGTGGCAGGTGAGGAGGGAGGGCTCGCTTGGCACACTGCTCACATTTTACTGTGTCCTGCAGCCCCTTTCCTGGGGCTCCTGGGTTCAAATAGGAGCTTTTTAGGTTACACAACTGGTGCAGATTTTTTGTGTGCCTTGGCTGGACCTTGCCAGACAGGCAGAAGCCTGTGCCAACCCAGACAACAGCACCCGGTTGGCAAGCACAGCTGCGTGGCTGTTACGACAGGCCTGACTGCAGCACTCACTGATTACAATGAGCTGAAACATTTCCCGGTGTTTGCTGGTTTCAGGGAAGCTGTTTGATGGAGTGGCTTAATCACCCTCCTTGTAGCTACGGGGGCTTCGTGGTTTCCTGGTGATTCTTCCCAATCCACAATAAAGATGGCCCATTGGCATATGTGCTAGTGCCATACCTCGCCCATTGGAAGTTTTGTTCTTCGTCACTTTCCTTGTTATAGAAAGTTTTGGCCGGCGCGGTGGCTCACGCCTATAATCCCAGCACTTTGGGAGGCAGAGGCAGGGGATCAAGCTCAAGAGATCGAGACCATCCTGGTCAACAAGGTGAAACCCCGTCTCTACTAAAAATACAAAAATTAGCTGGGCATGGTGGTGCGTGCCTGTAGTCCCAGCTACTCGGGAGGCTGAGGCAGGAGAACTGCTTGAACCCAGAAGGTGGAGGTTGTGGTGAGCCGAGATCCTGCCATTGCACTCCAGTCTGGGTAACAAGAGCAAACTCCGTCTCAAAACAAAAAAAGTTTGGTTTCTCTTCGAGCCCTCCCTTTCCCTCCCACAACCCAGAGCCCACTTTGTCTCCACTCCCTATACTACACTACCTGGCGGGTGGCACGAGTCCAGCCTTGGAGACCCGGGATTCCTCTCCTCATCTAGGCACAAGCCCAGCCAAAGAGCAAGAGCCAAATCAAACAAAAGGTGGGGGCGCACTGCAGTCACAGGGTTGGACAGACCGGGGAGGCTGGGGTTTGAGTCCGAAAAGGCAGCAGGCTCTAGAGCGGGGATGCTTAAGTGTTAGGGCACAGCTGAGGGGGCAGGAGTGACAGCAGCAACAGGACAGCGAGGCTGAGGGGCTGGACACTGTGTGCCTGGCTCAGCTTCAGCTGCACCTCCACGGGGTAGTGCTCACTGATGTTGAGGGCCTGGGAATGGGTGGTGGTGCAGTGTCAGTGCTTGGGGCCCAGGGGCTTCCCAGTGACCCACCTCCTGCTGGAGGGGAGGGCTGCCTGGAAGGAACCGGGTCATATGGCCCCACAAAGACACCCCCTGACACCTGCGCTCACACTTTCTACTTGCCTAGGGCTCTTGTTGGTCCCCCGCTCCTGCTTCCTCAGGCCTGGCCCCCTTATCACCTGGAAAACTGGGTGGGGCATGGCCCCTTCTCACATCAGCGACCCCAAGGGCAGGGCAGAACACCCTGTCCCAGGCCTGTTCGTGGCCTCTCTGCCCCTCACATGTAAGATCTGTGCCCTGGCAGACAGGCAAGAAATTCAGCAGCCACGCCTCACTCATGTCCTGGCCTGGACCTGAGGGGACACAGCAGCCACAAATCACTCCTGTTCTGGTCTGGACCTGACCCGCAGGAGACACAGCAGCCAAGACTCACCAGTGCTGGCCTGGGCCTGTCCCAAGGGGACATGGCAGCCACGTCTCGCTCCTGTCCTGCTCTGGGCCTGGCTCCGAGGGGTTTACAGCAGCCAAGACTCACCGCTGTCCTTGCTTGGGTCTGGCCCCTAGGGGACACGGCACCAAGACTCACCCCTGACCTGGCCTGGGTCTGGCCCCGAGGGGACACGGCAGCCAAGACTCACCCCTGTCCTGGCCTGGCCCTGAGGGGCACAGCAGCCAAGACTCACCCTTGTCCTGGCCTGGCCCTGAGGGGACACGGCAGCCAAGACTCACCCCTGTCCTGGCCTGGCCCTGAGGGGACACGGCAGCCAAGACTCACCCTTGTCCTGGCCCTGGCCCTGAGGGGACACGGCAGCCAAGACTCACTCCTGTGCTGGTCTGGGTCTGACCCTGTCAGGGAGGCCTGGGCAGAGAGGGGACACAGACCTGGGCACAGGCACCTGCAGCTAGGACTGAGTGAGGGCAGGCCCATGGGTGGGGGCAGAACCCAGAGGAAGCAACAGACTGGGAAGGGGCATGAAACCCTGCAAAGGCTGGCCGGACTCTGTGGCGGGGCTGCTGCTTTCCTCCTCCTCTTCCTCCTCCTC